TTAATTCTTTGTTCTTCCCTTATGATTGAGACCATCTGAATCTCGTGCTATAGGTCAACAAAGCTCTTGGCTACTCAACTCCAGTAGTTTCTGTTCGAACTACAGGATTAACCAATCGCGGAACGCGGAAGCGACAAACTAGGTAAACTATTTCCTGAATTTCTTTTGCTCCTGAATCATTATTTCTATGGTACATGGTGTTTAGGGTCGGCTTATCTTGCGGAGGAAGCAACGTTTTATCTTTAGGACTGTTCATCATCAGATGTCCCGACAGTTCCTGCATCACTGATAGTTGCTTTGAGAAATGTGCTGTGGATATCAAGCGTCGAATAGAACTGAAGCTTGCATCAGTCGTAACTCCCATCACGATTACTACAAATGACGGCAGCGAGCTTTTGGCTTCAATTACATTTTGTTCTTTTGACAGTTATAATCCAGGTAAGATTAGCGAGTCACGTCTAATCCTAATCAATAGAATAATCTTTGAGACTAAACGTGAGTGGTTTGAAGCAGAAAATAGTTAAAATGAAATGTGTATTCAATCTCTCACTATATTGGCTCTCGTATTTAACCCGTCCTTGCACTTCTAGCTGTGTCTTCTGAATATACAATGGATGCTTCTGAAGGAAGCAATAGTGAGACTTCATAAATAAAATACTTCAGTTATCACTTCACTCGCATCTAATTAACTACCTGAAGTAGATGCAGTCTAGGTTTTGGTAGAACAAAGCTTTTTGTCTCGATCCCGATATCTTTTTGCCAACAGGTCAGGGTGAGTGCGAGAGCAAAGATATATTTTCTTTGTTAACATACATCCTGTGTGGTCATCTTCAAGATCGTCTGATTGATTTTTTCGTCCTCTAAAAATGTTAGTGTGTTTATTATGAATTTTCTTATTATTGTTTTGCTTGCATTATTCGACTATACTATATGTATTATTCTTAAGATCTTTGCAAACTATAGCCACATGTAACAAAGCTGCGTAGAAATACATCACGTATGCGAAATCGGATGGAATTGTACATCTTAATAAGGGAAATGGACAGTTGCTCGCAGAGTAAACTATTAGCATAATTATGAAGGAAATAATGGAATCAAGATTAGTTAAGTAAATCAGGAAGATTTCGACTAGATTCAGTGAAAAAAGGATTTTAAAAAGTTTCATATCTCGGCCATAATGATTTGGTGACATAAATTATTTGAAAGTTGCACTACTCGAGTACGAGTGTAAAGTGTCAGTGATCCGTTGATAGACATGTTCTTCCACGATTGGACGCACGACTGAGCACGCAAAAATAGTGACTACGACCAATATACATATGCCTGTGATCTGAGTAAAATCCAGTCTATGAGTACAGCTTCAGTGAGCTTATTACTATTAGAGTCACTGATACCGCAGGTTTAGTGTGACCATATCAGCTCCGTTTTCTACCCACGCTACGCGTAACTGGTATTAAAATTTAGTTAAAAAGTTTCCCCTCAGAAATCGGCCAAAATCGTCTTGATTGACTTAACTAATCTAGATTCAATTATTTCCTCCATGATTCTGCTAATAGTTTACTCTGCGAGCAACTGCCCTAGACCCGTACTTAGTATCCGGTCTCTGTTATCTAGCATTAAAACTTGATTCAAGTTAGCTTTCCGATAATGATTACGCAGCAAGCTAAAAGCAATATGTTCCCCTCTCTTGACCAAGTGATTTCCATATGCTCCTAACTGATTTTACTAATAATGCTTTTGTTTCTGTGGACAGCTTCAACATCAACTGTGGCTACTACAAAATTGGCGACAACAATAGCAAGCACAACATGTAAGTGGCTTCCGCATTCTTAACGTTAAGTTAGAAATTACAAGTACACCATTCACTGATTAATTCATATTGGGCCAATGCGATGGCAGATGAAAAATTATTCGAAATGTCAGCGAAGCAGTAATCCTCTGACGAGGGAACTTCCTGGAGTGATTAACGGGTTTAAAGCACATCTTTTGGCCATAAGTAGACCTCGATGGTGTATGAAAAACCTCCAGAGGATTTGGGCCCTTAGGCCTTTTCTACAGAGTTATACCCATTTTAGTAGAATTTTAGCCTGTAGGTCGATATGTATCAACAAATCGAATCACATTATTTAGAGCTGAAATTTGGCCCACACATAGCTATACTTGTGGCTAGAATACGCTAAAAATTTCGACTAAAAAAATCGTTCTCTTCCCAAGATATTTAACTCTGAAAANTTGGCCATAAGTAGACCTCGATGGTGTATGAAAAACCTCCAGAGGATTTGGGCCCTTAGGCCTTTTCTACAGAGTTATACCCATTTTAGTAGAATTTTAGGCTGTAGAAAAGGCCTAAGGGCCAAAATCCTCTGGAGGTTTTTCATACACCATCGAGGTCTACTTATGGCCAAAAGATGTGCTTTAAACCCGTTAATCACTCCAGGAGGTTCCCTCGTGAGTAATCACACTGAGACCCGTTGTGCAACGTATTGTGTTTTTCCATGAGAATAGTTGTACTAGTATTCTAATTCTAAGTCACTTCTTCACACAATTTTTTCTTGAATGGCCCATAATAGTTTCCATTCGACTTTTCGCCTCCAAAGATAAACTTCGATTTAAGTTCACTTGTATGCCAATTTGTGCAACATGAACTAAAAGTATCCAATGTTTCTAAGAGAAATCCCGGTAAAATGATAATCTGAGTTTTCTAGCAGCATACATTTGGCATCAATTGATATATTAATGTTAAGCTCATGATAATATGGTAGCGTTCAGAACTGAATACTGTTTGTTATGATTAGTTTCCGAGATTAACAACAAATAAAATAATAAGGGAAACGTTGATCGAAATTATTGGTAAGCCACAAGAAAATAACAAGTCTTGCCAAATCACGCACATGTCTTTGACATTTACCCACATATAAAGACTCAAAGATAACTAATGACAAGTAGTTAGTTGGTTGATTTAATTGACGATGACTGATGTTTTATAAATCTAAATTTTAGCTCTACCAGCTTGCAGTGCTAGTGTTTGTTGTGTTAGCAGTTGTACTCTTTGTCTTGACAATAGTACTGTCCGTTACTGCGGAGCTACTCGTAATAATGATGGTGGTAGTGGTTCTAGCGGTGGTAGCGGATCTGGCGACGGCCGCGGTTCCTATGCTTACTATGGTGATAAGGTCTGCAATGGTTCTGGTTCTGGTGGAGGTTCTTGTGCTATATAAAGAGCCGATAACTCGTTGACTTTCATTGATATGACTACTTCAAATTTGAAATTCTCTTAACTTACTAATTCAAAAAGTGTTTTACTAATTTCATTTTATTTTTTCGCTCTTTTCACATTGTCTTCATTCTGACTATAAATTATATTTCCACTTATAAGTAAAAATTTCCTCATCTTACTCGACGTTAGTTCACTAAATAAAGCTGTTGCATTGAGTAAAGAATAAAACTTCCGCAACAGCTGTGAGTATCACTCCCATGTTTGCTATTGTGGCCACATTGCGACGCAGTTGCACCGCAATGATCGCATTAGTTTCGATCTGTATTTCAACACTTTTGCACTAACTATGACAATAATGATTGGTGATAAAACCACCTAAACTATTGTGCATTATGACATCTTCCTTCTTATTTATTAAAGGATCAGAAGCACACAATTTAAAAAAATATATATATATACAGCTGTCGTGAAAAAAACTTGCAGAGAATCTAAAATTTTGTATAACGGTTTTCTTACCGTTCGAAATCAATTACCGAAATCGTTTTTACCAGGGATATACAGTGTGTCCCGAAAGTCACTTCCTAAAAGTTTTTAACGATATTTTCACTATTTTACTTCACTATATCGACTTTGTTTTTTAAACGATAGAGAAATTCACAAAGTTTATTTTTATTTATNAAAAAAACTTTGCATAATGTTTTTCTCGGAATAGGCAACAGATTGAATTTTTGTATTTCGCTGGAAGGTAATACTTTTGAACAGTATTTATAAAAACCATATAAATAAAAATAAACTTTGTGAATTTCTCTATCGTTTAAAAAACAAAGTCGATATAGTGAAGTAAAATAGTGAAAATATCGTTAAAAACTTTTAGGAAGTGACTTTCGGGACACACTGTAGATGATTGTGTATATGAGGATAATGATGAGGGTCGAATGAATATGGGGAATGGAATAGCTTGAGAGTGAAAATTAGGCTGATGAGCGAACGTCTACAGTTGAGAATAAATCTTGGTGAAAGAAGTATTTTAGACAATTTTTTAACCAAGAAATTGACTCCAGTAATTCTTTTGTGTAGCGAATTATAACTGAAATTGTCATTTTGTGCAATGCACGATATAGCAAAGACAAGACTCACAAAAGGAGAAGTTTGAAGCATGTTGATTTTGCTATCTGCTACAATTTTTCAACGCATAGGGCGTTTGATATAGATATTTGTCAATTGTCACCGGGTATCCTCGCTGGTGTCAATACAATTAAATGAATAAATCGATAAAATTGTGTACGTTAATAAAGATTAATTCCGTTTTTATACTAGCAACACATTTTCTCTCACAATATACCTTCCCAATGTTACACAAATGATTATTCTGAATCAGGATCACCTTCGAATTAAAAAGTACGCAATAAGATACGCCTATTCGGCCCTTTTTCTCTACTAAGAAATATTGCTACTAGAACTATCTTACGTTCCATATAATCCATTTATATACAATCTATCCTCGTCTTCTTTTGAAATCATGTGTAAGAACATGCTGAGCACACAATGCACTTAACTTAATCATTTTGTATATCTTAGCTTTTCTTCATTTGAGCTTATTATAGCACAAGAAACTGAGTACAGAAAAAGGTGATGAGAAAGTGGCAAGACGTGTATCGTCGTGGAATCGAACGAAGAAAGTCGCTCTACTACGTTGCTGAAATAGTTTTTGTCAAGACGGGTACAATTAAAGATAGGCTCATAACCCTTCTGCGACAATTGCATGTGTTATTTACGCTTTAGACTAGGTGAAAAATATTTCGAACGATTTCAGTAACTGAATATTGTGTCTATAGCTGTCCTCCGCTATTTGCACTAGCGCAGCTTGCCTTTCTTGTAATTCTTGGTATAAATATTTAGAATTTGATATTCTAATCATCGCTTGTGCATCATCTTCATTTTGTAGTTTCACCCATACCGACTGTTTATTTAATATTGGATAAGCTTCTAACAGCTTTTCATCTACAACCAGTGGTGTGCGGTTGATAATAGAGGACGGTATTGTAGAGGAGGCAACGGATTTGTAGTAGTGTTTATTACCGAGTAATGGTAACATACCAATTGACGACTGAATTTCAGAATAGTATTCTTGATAGCCCACAGGCGTATCTAACATATATTTTGCTCGAATTTGGATAATTGATTGATTAATCAATTTTGCATCAACAGGAAGCGGAAATTTATAATAATCTAAGCCACTGATGATTAGCACTGTCACATTGGTCTTTTTTAATTGATCAGCTGATTTTAATAAGCTCTGTGAGAGACCGGAATAATTTTTTCGCACATGTGTAACTGTACCTTGAACGACAAACTGTTTTGGCATGCGGTTCTGCCGTGATAATTTTATGGGAAATATCGGCAGCCACAAATGAATACGATGAATCGTTTTTAATTTGTCTAAAAGTATTTTAGTTTCATTATCCGCGTTTTCAATCCAATTAGTAGTGAACTTCTGAACATGTTTAGATAGAGTAAGGAAATGAATCTGTATATGATTTGGCATTGTGTTATTGTGAAACGAAAGATATTCTCTAATTATTGATATATCAAATGGTAAATCTACGTGGGCTTCGTTCACTTGTATTAATATGAAATAAATTCGATCAGAGCTGCGACATTTTTCATCTAATCTTTTCAGTACTAGTAGAATTGGTGCTGGTGAATCCTTTTGAGAGGTTGTGAATATAATAAGGTTCTGCATACAGAACTTGTTATCATCGATGCCATTCGTTGATGACTCATAAGACCATTCAAATGGCAGAAATGGATATACTTGATTCATCCACATTGAAGTCATTTCATATAAAGACTGTAGTCTTATTCTGGCTTTTAGTGCTATCGAGGCATCTCTTGTCACATTAGTAAATGCTAGAATAGAATTTAAAGGGTTAGCTTTCCTTGCTGCGTACACATATGAAAACCATATCTCATCATGGTATTCTCGATGATTAATTATACTTATGTTTAAATAAATATCTCTGTGTTTAACTCGTTCTTCTCTCGATGAACTGATTGCCGTTTGAAGTACAGCGAGTAACAGCAATATTATTATCAACGAAGTAATTGTAAAGCGGTCTCTTTTTAATATATGAAAGCTGATATTAATATAAGTTAATTTACTTTTTCTGTCGCGAGACAAAAGGTTGCTGATAATGCGACTAGAAGAAATTTAGAAACAGATTATAGATAATATAACTCGGATGTATAAAATATCTTACCGTGTTTTATGATAAAGCACTTTTATCTTACCGTTGCATAATGATTTTAATCCAGAACTGCTGAAAACTAGTCTGCGTATAAAAAAGAGGAAACACAAAAGAATTCCAGCTAAGAAAAGTTTCTTTCTTTTTCTCTGTTCAAAGAGTAAAGCTACAGCAGTGTGATTTTTCCAAATTTTGCGTTGATAATTAACATCACAGTCAATAATTGCAATAGCTTTCGTAAATACTGATGACATTAAATCAGAAACTCCATAGGATTTGCCTACTTGAAGTATATTTACTAAGTTTTTTCGTATTAATTTCAGCTTTTCAGCTACTATTCCATTGACGTAGATATCTTCGATCCAGAATGCTGGAGCTGAATCAAATATTTCACGAACTAAGGGTATAATTACTTGCGGCGGATATATGACGAATGCACCATATATATAATCCAAAAAAGAATCCGAAGCAAGTTGCGATTTGGGAGTTAATAATCCCTGAGCAATTGGATCGGATGAACCCCGTTCAAATTCTAAATATTCCCGAACTTGTCCATAAATTGCCATTTCATTGCTTTGTTTTAGATGTATTAGCAAATTTTTTACATTTATCATCGTATCATCATTTATATACACCAGAGTAAAATTTGGACACTGTTGAGAAAACCACTTCAGTACTGCAACTGTTTTTAGAGTTAAATTAGAATAATTATCAATAAAGTCAAATTGTAATATATCATGGAACTGTTCTTCTTCAACTTCTAATAGTTGTTGATATATTGATGCATTAAATTTCGACTTTCCAATCGCAAATAAAACAGGAGGAATTTCGTACTTTTGAGAAGCATCTAAACCCCACGATTCTCTGATGAATTTTCTTCGTTCGTAATGAATACCGGAAACTTCTGCTGCGCTTTTCACCACGACTATTAAGTTATGAGGATTGCTGTACTCAGTGCAAAAATTAATTTTCTTTATGAGTAGATTTTTACTACTTAACCGAAGATCACGTCGCGTATGCATTCGATGTTCGACGCTTGTAATAACTTTGGAAACCAGTATAAGTATAAAGATTCGCAACCATTTCATCACGTTAACTAGATCTATATAAAATTAAACAAGATTTATTTCACGTAGTCGAAAACATTCACTGGACATCAACTGCTTGAGTATGAGGGTAGGTGAGGATGGATTTTTACTTTACAGCTGCTCCTGAGTAACTTTCAGCCACTCATTATCACCATCCACTGTTTACTACTCGCCGTCGTAGTAGGACAAATCGATCGGTGGCAGTTAACATTAAGATATAACTATATTCTTCGGGTTAGATCAAGCTATTTTGTATGCATGGTTACTTTTCATGAACGCAAGAGACTGAAAAAAGTCGAACATCAATCCACCGTTATGATACTACTATAACCTGATTTTAATTGTTCGTTTACATAAGAAAGTGAATTTTTAGCATTTTGATTTCTTAAATCAATTCTAGCTCATTGTTTACAATGGACTAGTACCGACGAAGTATATCAAAATCTCAGTAGTTTACTCCTCGGAAACGAAGACTTAAATTAAAATTAGATTATAACGGTAGTACAAGAATAGATTAATAAACGGATTTTCCAGGTACTATTCGTACATCGATAGGTCGATCCATTCAAAGCACGAATATCATATAATATCTGATTTTGGTGCACAAAATATCGAACATTATATGACATTCTCCCCTGCGCACCCTCATACATCTCTTAGCCGATTCAAACATGGAAAACTTAACAAGGAACTTCTGTCCGTATATTGTTATCTATTTGAGATGAGTTAATAAATGATTGATTATACAGATGTGGTAGACTTTGTAGCTTCTGAAATAAAGTCCATCGAGAACGTTTAATCCATTTTTCAAGGCCATTTGAATTTCCATACTTGTAACGTGTGTTTAAACCTATGCCAACATGGTTAGCAACTTGATGTTCAGAAAGATAGAATGAACACTGCCATAATTCATATAATCCAAAGATCCACAAATCTTGATGCGCTCCGTGTGAAGGTACTGGATAATAAACACCTTCGTGTAGATCTAAGTGTGTGCGATGAACGAGATTAAAGGTTGGATATCGGCATAGGGTAATGTCTTTGAATGTAACAGCTCCGAAATCCTTAGCCACGTGACAACTATTTAGGCTTTGTATGGCAGCAGTTGTCCATCCATAGCTTCTTATTTGCAAATCATCATTGGCTGGATAGAAGTAGTCGCAACGATCCCTATATCCAGCCGCCGCAATCGTATTATACATAGCAGTAAGACGTTGCTCTGTTGCATACAGTATCAAAGGCTTCACTCTAATATGCAGGTTATTCGATTGGCTGTTATTGCGCCGAAGGTGTTCGATAAATATAAGCAGCTGTTGCCAATTGCTAACGTTATCATACCACACATCACCATAATCATAACCAATATACAAATCATAGTTATACTTTGATTCAGCAGTACTAAATATGGATGGCAGAAAAGCTCTCACCAATGGCTGGTTCAATAAACCGATACCCAATGATCTATTGTAAGGAATATTTCTACTAGTAACAGGCACCATCATGCATATACTTATTCGCGTCTCATTATTAGCATCCAAGGTTACTGTATTCATCGTTAATATCGAATGTTTATATGTAAAATGAAAGTTAATTAAAATCAAGGAGACGTAAAAAGAACCAGTGATGGTACCAGTCAGTAGTAAAAGCTTTCTATTTCGTACCGGAACCATGATTATTAGTGATTCAAAGAGATTCGAAACAATCTACAATTGTCTTCATTCAACACATGAAAGATTTGAGATTCTACCAGGGGTAAACTAGTCATCTAATATCTTCAGCGCTCTATCTTTCGTTGATCAACTGTGCAATAAAATGTTGAATGACTGAAAGCGATATATTAACAGAAGACGAGGGGAGAAGTAGCAGCGAAGAAAAATTATGGGTCTCTCCCCTGAAATAAATCCATGTAGAATGCAATGAAAGCAAATCTTTATAGTAAAGTTGGATCAAACGATTTAACCTGAATGGAAGTTTAAACTTTAACTACTAAACGACTAAAATCAAACGTTTTGCTTTCCATTGATCTTGAAGGTGACTGAGTGTATGAGGGTGAGCGAGGATGGTAATGTAAATTTATAGATGGGCTGGATGCGTACAAAAGTGTTCCCGTCAAATATACACGCTTACCCTTTGAAAAAAAAACTCCTATAATAAATGATAAAAGTGATTGCAATAATGATAATTGAGATGAAATTGACACTTTTACATATAATAGAAAAACTGTCGCATCTTGTTTGTAATGACTCTCAATTATCCTTTGTTATTCAGTTTCTACTTCTTTAGTATAATCTCGAATATTTCCTCGGTATTTTTACACTTCGATATTTTTACATATTGTCATTTTGATATTTCAGTATAAGCTGAGAGAGTAAAGATGTTTGCGTCTTCACGGACAGATGCTACTAAATAGTAACATATTCACGCTTTACTCAGCACCCGTCCTCCAAACTTTATAAACAAATTCAGTAATCACAATATAAAAAAGACGAAAAAATATTTTAAAAATAAGGGAATCTAGTATTTATCTTTGATCGGCAACTGTAAATCATTAAGGCGTCCTCCTCATTTTTCACTGATTCTCAGAATTCGAGGACAGCTTGGTCAGTTGAGCTGAAATTTTGCTTCTGGATATTCACAGACGTACGCCAGTGGTAGTTTCGACCCTTTTGAAAAATCTCTAAAAGCCCCACTTTCGAATGCTGAGAGACTCGCAGATCGCGACAGTAAGATCTTAAACACAAATGGCCAGGACTGTTTCTGGAAGTGTATATACTCGATATTGCTGATGAAAAATTCAGTTCTATAGAGTCAAGTCAAGAGGGGATGGCATTTATGACAACTAAATCATAAAGACGGAAAATCCGTTTTTCCCTCGACTGTAGGAAGGGTCATATGTAAAAAATAGTTTGTCTGTTTGTTTGTGTCGGGGTCAAAGGTCAAAAAATATTTTTTTAAAACCATCCAACACATTGAAAACTTCTAGTATGCTGACGCTAGAACGAGTGCGGATGAAAGGCGAAGGGGAGGGTCTTGGGTGAAGCCATTTGTGGATCTTCGAGCATGGGTGGAGTCGTCGATTGATTCTTTGGGGGAGGGGGAGGGTAGACGTGAGTGGTTGGAGTCGGTGATCGGCCGCTCTGTTCCTGACTTGAGGATTTTATGTAGGTTTGGTGTTCAGTTCTTCTTGATTTGTTTATAATGGAATATGAAGCTGACGTGGAGTTGGGATGGCTAGGAGTGTTGTTAGAACGCAGTTGGTGTGGCTTGGGTGTTCTGACTGTTATTCAACTATAACCGATGTCAGGAGTAATAAAAGAACGACAGATAATCGTACACAGTACTATAGCTGAATGCCGTGAAAGCGAAAAATAGGGATATCAAACGATACATTAGCTAAATTCACATGTGTCAAATGTAATCCTAATCCATCGTGTTAAACCTATTAAAAATATAGAAATTTGACAAATACAAAGAAATAAAACTTCTGCTAGTAAGTGATGATTATTGTTGGTGTTCGTACTGAATTTGGGCAAATGTCAAAAATTTTCTTTTGTAGTTGAGCGTTTGTTCCAGTTGGATTGATTAATCGGAGTTAGAGTTGCGTGCTCGCGAAGTTGCCGATTTCTAGTTGAAATGGCGTGTGGTCTTGTGGTAGTGAGGTGGATGGGCTGAAGTATGTAGATGAGGGTGGGGATGCCTGGAAAGTGACATTGACTTATAGGAGACAGATATTGATGATTGACGTTCTCTATTTTCGACTCTTGTATATGCTTCGTGACGCATTTGATACGTTGTGTATGGTTGTGATGCTGTTCGATTGAAGTGGCTCTAGTGCTTATTGTATTGCGTCATCGTTTCTTTCTTCTTGTTCCCTCGACTGAACGGAGGGTCATACGAAAAATATTTTGTATGTTTGTCTGTTTGTGTCAGGGTCAGAGGTCGAAGGTCAAAAAAATATTTTTTTCGAAAATGCTCACAACTTCATGAAACATCGTTTGGGAGGGAACCTGAAGCTCGAGGTTGACTGGATGAGGGGTGAAGGGGCAAGGACGTGACAGAAATGAAGAAAATATTTCATCCGCGCCTCAGACGAGGGCTACATAGAAGAGTTGATTACGAAAAAGTAAAAACACACTCGGTTGACTGTCGCATACCAAAGGCCAGTAATCCAAAAGTACATTCGTTCACAAGTTACATACTGGAAAGCAATCTTAAATGCTAAGCTTCGATACTTTTTAGTAACACACGGGTAATTATATGATAGACAGGGACAGCTTTGGAGCGGCGCCTGGTAATCTAGCCAGTTACCAAAGTATCAACAATCCGACACGTTCGAATGCAAAATATATACTGAGTCTCATTTGGTCTTACCGAAATTATCTTTCTTTTAGAAAAAGGAGGACATGTTTAAAGGTGCAAATCCATAATAGTCATTTATAGTGAACTTCTGCTTCCTGTGAAGAGTAATTGTCAGTCAGGAATATAGAATAATTAACAGCAGCGCAAGTAGTCCTTTGACTCTTTTGAAGACTGTGAGGCGAATGAAGATCAGTCTCTGGGGACCCTTTCAAAGGTTACACTTCTGTCTTTTTTTTGCATAAAACGCACATAAGACTATTTTATTTTTAGTCAGTGGTTCAGTCGAGGGCATAGCGAGTCTGCCCCGACGAGTGTTATTAGTCGCATATTGCATTGGTAGTATCAAATTGAGGTTTTTATATGCCTCTCCAAAAAGAGTAGGAAAAATTCTGTATTTTGTTTTTGAAAGTTACTGAATATATCTGCGCAAAGCATTTGAATTGTTCTGAAGTCTATCGATGCAGAAACAGCGAACAAGTGCGATATAGGAAGAGGTAAGGGGGAAACAGCGGATTAGGAGTTTAAATAATCATCTAATCACCCAAAATCAATATTAATCACTCTTAATCAACCATGATGAATGAAAATAGCTCAGATTCGACAGATAAGCTTTATCAAGCACATGCTTCTTTTCTGTAAAGACGCAGGGAAGTCTATTGCCATAAAGAAAATACTACAAACTGTTTTCCTTTATACGAACCTATAACTTCTACAACATAATCTGAATGGTAGAAACTGATAGCCTATGTAAAAAGACGAAAACTGCGTGGCATTCTTCTATGCGATCAGGGCATTCAAATATATTAAATATCTAATCAAATATGAAAGTAGGCTGAAGGTTCTATAGTACATCACACAATAGGAAAAGCATATGTATAAGGAAAATGATTTCAATAGCGACATGACATTGTCCACTTTTGACATGAATATCTTAGCATAGTGAAGTCTCCGAAAGCTGATTTTTAGACATTGTATGTATGCTAAACTGCGCTACATAGTGAGGAAAACTAAGTATTGTAAAATCTCCCCGTGCGAAGTTATTGCTAAAAGCTGCGGTTAGCGATGTCGCTCAAACGAGACATCAACTTTAACTTGAGACACGCTCATGGACAAATGCTGTCGACTTTAATTCTGTTTTTCTATGTTGCCTTTTACATTCTGTAGATGACTCTTCAGGTTACAAGACAACAGTAAGATATTTTCCTGATTATAGTAAGATCCTTCAAAACTTTAATCCTATTCCACGTTAATGACATGACAGAGTACGAATAAAGCGCAACATTTATATTGATCGAGTAGCTGCCTAATTCGACTTATAATATAATCATTGAATTGCTAACACACTACGGTGCTTGTTTCATGCATATATACGAATAGATTTAATTATACGCATACCTACTTATCCACCCATGTGGGTTTATGAATAGATAGGGGCACATCTTTTTAACATAGCCTCATCAATGCCCTCAGTCGAGATATACGTATGTAAAGGTCTTCGTGGCATCCTTAACCGAGGTATATGTCAATCTATTTTGATGTACAGCTATCGATATAACTAAGTATATAACTAACTATTCGTAAACTTATAGGTTTATGTATATATCTACATATGTTTGAATTTATATAGGTCTATTAGCGGTTCATTTATAATATACGTCGAATTAGGCCACTCATAGAATATGTTTACTTCCCAAAGCTTTGGGAAAAAAATGAACACCATTTTCAAAAACTAGATACTACGGCCTAATATGCCCGAATATTTTAATTGTTGCATATTTACTTTGAGTCTCAAAAAACGCGAGAAATGTCCTGTTTTTGCCCATATATAAATTCTTACAAATCAAAACGATGAATTAGATTCAAACTTTGATCTCGATAGTAGGGGACACGATGACGTAAGCTCCACATAAGCTATGTGCTCTAAACAATATCATATATTGTTTCTAAAACCTTTCTTCTTTGTATGGTTGAATATAATGCTTATGATTTAAGCTTCACAAAAAAAAACTGTACAAAGCAGAGATGATCACAGGGTAACATTTTCATGCCCTGTCCTGTCCTGTATCCTGTTGTATCTTACCCTGTCCTGTCAGGAAAAAACTAAAAAGAAAAAAAGACACCCTGCCCTGCTAGCGAAAAATGAGCAGGACGCGGCAGGGTACCCTGCAAACTTCATAGAGTATTTATATGTACTTATGAATTTTGTTACAGAATAACAATTGTTTTATTCCATACTGTGACACATTATTTTATTGAAAATGAAATTACAAGAACTTTCTTCCACAAATCATGTAATAAATGGTTTAGTGGA